CACTGTAATACTGTGTTATGAGTTAATGAGAGGCAGTAAAACCCCATAGTTGGATGCATAGGCTTTGAGGTCAGAAGCTCTGGGTTTGAAGCCCAGCTCTGTGATAGCCTGAAATTCTGGCCCAGTTACTTAACCTTCCCAAACCCTGGTTTCCCCATTTATAAAGTGGGGATAATAATGAAATATACCTCCTAGAGCTGTCAAAAGAATTAAATGAGATAACCCATAAAAAGCACTAGCCCAGGGCCTGGCAAACTGTAAGCACTCAAAAATTGGAGGCTATTTTTAACATTTTTATAAAATAGCTATACAGTGTGAGTACACTGTTAGATAGGATCACAGAAGAGGGACACCTAACCTATTTTTCTTTTATCTGCCTGTGTTCACTTAATCAGTTGACCTTTCCAAACTCTGCTCACAATAAACAATATCAACCTCTGGTCTTTCAAATCAAAGTGCAATTGTATTTCCATTCTGGGAAACTTCTGGGGAGAGGTATTCATGTTAACAGCCACAGTGAATTGCACAGCAAGGGAAAGGACATGGGCAGAGAAAAATGCAACAATGAAAAATAGATTCGTTTATCAACATGTGGCCCCTGATAAAAAGCCAAGAGTTTTGATGCTTCCTTCAGTGGCTAATTTGTCTGTGTGGAATATAGCAGTCTGTGACATATATTGAACATGTGAAATAAATTCAAGGTTAGAAACCAGAGTGGCCCAGAGTCCCACAGTCTTGAAACAGAACTTTCCCATTGAGTTACCAAGGTAACATGTTAACTGGGTCAAGACACAAAGGAGTGAGTTGGTGGAAAGAGTAAGGGAGGCCAGATAACAGCATGGTTAAGAGTGAGGAGTATGGAGTCAGGCTGCCATTTTGTTCCCTGTGTAACCCTAGGCACATTACCTAGCCTCTCTGAGCCTCAGTTTCCTCATCTGTAACTATGGAGGTCATAACTGTAGGTATTTCATAGGAAGGCCAAGAAGGTTTAAGAAGATAAAAGGCATGTATAACTGTGTAACACTTTTAACATAGGAATTTGTGCCTAGTAATTAGCAATCTGAATAAATATTAGCTGCTTTTGTTATTAAGATAGCCAGGTCTCTCCATGGCTAGAAAAAGACAAAGAGTGGGCATTTTTATGACTTTTTTTCCCCCAAAGGGGAGAGGGCAGGGTAGGATATTGATAATTAAACCTTCTTGATTTTTCTAAAAGTAGGAAGCATTGACAAAAAGAAGCCAGGAGTAGTTTTCACAGAATCCAATGACTGTAGCTAGGAGCGAAATTTCATGTCAACAGCCAGTGGCAGCGAACACCCGCTTCATGACCCGTCCTTGGCCCAAGCTAACCAGACAGAGGTGGCATTAGTCTCAGAGCTGGCTTTCTGGGCACATGACCTGTGCAGCTGCACAGGCCCCACACTCAGAAGGAACCCATATTCGGTTAAATGCTCTGCTGCTGCCATCTTGAAATTTTTATAAATTTTATCTTTGAACTTGTATTTGTAAGTGAAGTCCAGTGGAATAATGGAGCATGTATTTGAGCAGGGAGAATACGCAGGAAAAGAAAAACACTTTATATTTTAGTATGTATACTAAGTACATATACATATTTAATGGCATGTCTTTTCTGCTTTTTGAACAAGGAGCACTGACTGCATTTTTACTTTGCACTGGGCCCTGAAAATTGCCAGTGCTGATTAGATTAGGAAACTTCTTTTGACCTGCTCCACTGAGCCAGGTTAACATTTTAAAATCTGATAAATAAATTGGGATTCAGTAGTCACCTAACAACTTGAGGTGAGCCAAAGGTCATGGTGGAAAGCCAAAAAAAAAAAAAAAAAAAAAAACTGCAGGCCTGGTGGAAAGGAAAAGCAGCCCCATGTCCAGTTGGATAGGGGTTGTCAGAGCAGCCTCCAGCAGCTTGAATTCTACTCACTGATGGGGTCTCAGAAGCATTGCACGGCCTCATGGTCTGAATTACGCTATGCGCCTTATAAGCTAAGCATCCTTGGATAGCCACAGGGGTGCAGGCAGACTGGGCTAGTGCTCACTAAGCAGGCCAGGAATTCCTACACACCAGGCCCAAGGACAGCATCATGGGGACACAGTGTGAGGTACACCCAGGGCTCTGAGCTCAAGGTCTCTTGGTGGCTTTATGTTAAAGCTTCTCATTTCAGAACTCTTTTGTTTTCCATAAGAATCTTTCTCATCCCCATGGCCAAGCATGATGAATGCCTGAAGAGATTAATAGCACAGTTAATCATAGATAATAATTAATGGTCATGTTTTTTGCCAGTGTTGCTAATCACATATAATGCTTGTTATGGATAATTATGACATAATAGGAGCAAGAGCTTGTAAAGTAGGAAGTAAAAGATTTGGGTTCTAGTCCAACTTATCACAATTTACTGGAATAAAATCAGCAGGATCTTGAGTTTCTCCTCGTTTTCTCATCTATGGGATGGTGACCATATAACTGGTTTGCTATTTGCCTTGTACAGTAGGAGGAAATGCCCATCTTGCTTCCCTCATGCAAGGGTCAGACATTTAGTAGGCGCTTGACAAATTTGTGTTGGATGGATGGCACGAAATATAAGTTATCACAATTACTAGAATACATCTTCTTATTTGGGGGATGGGAAGGTAGCCAAAACTTGTTGGGTTCTCAGCCTGGTCCAAGACTGCAGCTGTTTACTCTTTACACCAACTCTGTGAAATAGCTTGTTTTATAGCTGATGAAATTGAGGTACAAGAGCATTAATGAATTTGCCCCAAATCCCATGGTTGGTAAGTGACTAAGCCAGGATTTGAACTAAAGATGTCTGGTTCAAAACCCCCTGCCTTGTAATGTCATCTCTGCTATGACAAAAATTCCCCTATCTTAGAGGTTGACTGTAGTTGCTGATGACCACAGTTAGGAGTTCCTATCTGCACATATAACATTCATTTCGCTGCTGTGTTTGAAACTTTCTATTCTGTCTTGTGCCCTCCTCCATATCCTCTCCCTTTCTCTGTTATGACTGTTGTGTTTTCTCAATGGTTTTCATGCACTTAGACTCCCATAGACCTGGGCCCCCCTCATCCTAATTGTTCTGGTGCTCTTTTGCCAGCTCTGTCTACATTCCCTGTGTCTTTGAGTTTAGTTAACGGGATTTATTTGATTGAGTGCCACAGTGAAGGCTAGACGTCAGGTTTCCATAACTTACAAAATACGAAATATAAGCAGCCAGCAAACATAGGGTAAAGCCCACTAGTGGTCACAGACATACCCATGAAAACAACAATGACAAAATAGGCCAGAAGGAAAAGTGAATAATGCTTCACAAATCAAGCAAGGACACCCTGTGATTGACACTCTCATTCCCTCATGGTAGGAGGATAGAGTGGCTGACTTTGTGGAAAGCATTTTTGGAACAGGTATCTCAAGTCTTAAAAGTCTTCACTGATGAGCACAGTTGGCAACATTGAAAGAGCTCTTAATGTTTGTTGATGAATGAAGAAATGATCTCTCATATAGGTCTCTATCCCAAGGAAATAATCAGATGAAATCAAAAATTAATGTCAACTCAATTTCAATAATAGAACAATGGTCAAATAAATTATGATGCATCCATAAGATGCAGTATTATAGAGTCTTTAAAAGTCATACTTTAATGAATATTTTACAATATGGAAATTTGTCATCATGTAAGCCAAAATGAAAAACTATCCCTGTGCAAAAGTATATCTATGCTGTTTCCTAGCTCTGTGAAAGAACATATATTTGTCATAATTTTTTTATTCAACAAGTATTTATTATTGTTTACCTGTGAAGAAATGTGCAAAGTTCTGGGTATGCAATATAAACAAAACACACCCAGTCCCTGCATTCACAGAGCTTACAGCGTATTAGGAAATTCTGCTGTTAAATAATCTCACAAATAAATCAATACTTACAAATCCAATGATTGCTAGGATGCAAAATTATACAGTATGCTGAAGATAATTCAGTACTGTAATCCAACTGGGACATTAAGGTGAAGTGTGGGGTGGGGAGAAACATTGCCAATAGAGGGAACCATGAGTGAAACAGGCCTGAGTTGGCAGAATCAGGAGGCCCATGAGACTGGAACAGATGAATGGGAGACCACAGCGCAGGGTCTGGATTGCACCAAGTACAATGAACACGTGGTGGAAGGGTTTAGGGCAGAGGCTCAATGCAAACCATTAACACTTCCAGAAGATGTGTTTGCAGATACAGAATGGGTGGAGAGGGATTCTCTGTAAGAAACATGGTGCATGAATAAGGAGACCACATATGAGGGGCCCATAAGGGTTCGTGTGAGCCAAACCCGACACTCTACCTGGATGCTGGGTAAGCCAGGCTCTCCCCCAGGGAGATCTGAGACTCAAATATCCACAAACCATGAGCAGAGAATGGCATCTCCCACATCCACATCCTCCTACCTTCCAATCCTTCTTTGACTTTGACAGGGCAGAGCGCCACCCATTCCTTTATTCAACTCGTCTTTGCATGCCAGTGGAAACGGGGCTCCCCACCTCCCCACCTCCCCACCACTACTGCTAAAATCTCTTTTTAAAGTTGCATGTTGGCTTAAACCAAATGAAGCCCCATCTCAAAATCTACAACTGCAGTTTCCAAGAACTAAAGATTCGAAGGATAAAAGCAAACATGAATGGTTGTCCTGGAATCATTTGTAGGTATAGCAAATACATGAGGGAAAGTTCTCACCAGCTTGATTTAACGCTAATTCCAAGCGATTCCTTACAGTGCTCTGTGAAGACCTGTGGCAACTTTCTGAGCATCTGTCTTTCATTTGCCTAACAAGTTAATTAACACTTTTTGTCACTCTGGCAGCTTTGGAAGAAAGGGGAGGGGGATGTGACAGCCAGTGCTGCCTCGGGTTAACCCTGCCTTCACCCAGACCTGGGGAAGACAGGAAGTTTAGCATTGTCAAGGCGGATAAGTCCATCCTGACCTCTGATTCTGTCTGCAGATGGGGCACCCAGGGTGACTTCTCCACAACCCACGCACTGCCCGCTGTGAAGGTGAAGCTGTTCACAGAGAGCACAGGCGTCCTGGCCTTGGAGGACAAGGAGCTCGGGCGGGTAAGCACTCCCCATCACAAGGAGTACCCAACAGAACTCCAGAGAGTGGGTGTCTGCAGCTGGGTCCCCAAGTGCATGGGGCTAACTTTGAAGTTTAAATCCCGGGCTCCACTCTGTGTGACCTTGGGAAAGTCTCTCAACCTCTCTGAGCCTCAGGTTCTCCTCTACCAACCTGGACTAACAAGAGTGTTCACTGCAGAAGACAGAGCGGGGATTCTCTGCATCACCAGACCCAAATACCCTTTATAGCAAAGATTTGTAATGCCCTTTACTGTCTTGAAGTGAAATTCTTAGATAATTTAACTACCTGCTCACCTAACAATGACAATCAACAGAATGACATAAAAGAGAGAGAAAAGGAAATTAATTAATCACACAAAAAAATTTTAAGGTAAATACTTGAGACCTACAGAAGAAGTGCTTTGCTTACTTCGATATGGAGAGTCATCGTGAAGGTGACAGCTACAGGATCCACTGTGGAGGTGTGCTGGTTTAGGGACTCAAAATCCTGAGTACTAGTAAACTGATTTACTGAAATGGTCAGCAACTCTTTGTACAGTTTCCTTGATTTCCCTGGAAATATGCCAGAAATACTTTAATTTTAAATATAAGACAGAGTTAGGATCTGGACTCAGTTCATTATAAATAGGTTTGTCACTTCCATTAATACCCAGTGGGAATATTCAAAAGTCAGATGGGATGTAGTTCGATTCCTCACTGGGGAGAATCATCTCTCTCCTTGTAGGATGTTTAGCATCCCTGGCCCCCACCCATTTAATGCCAATAGAGACCAACGCCAATTATTTTGTCAATCAAAATGTTCTCAAAAATTCCGAAACACCCTGAGGCGTGGTACCAACCCCCTAGAGAACCACTGAGATAAGAGAGACATTTCTCCTTGCATCTCGGCTATTGACTCTGCACCAAGCAGCCAGAAGTATCTTCAGAAGTTGGATTTGTCATTTGCTTGCTTAATTTCCTTCCACGATTCCACATAATGCTTGTAATACAATCTGAAAACAGAGACTTGTATGGCAGGCCTGTGCCCACCTCTTCAGCCTCGTCTGCTGCATGTTGCCCTCATCCACTGTGCACCCCACCGTTGGCCAAGTTCCAGTCCCTCAAATAAACCAAACTCTTTCCCTCCTTAGGGGTCTGTCTCTCTCCCTAGAGTACATAATACAATCTGAAAACAGAGACTTGTATGGCAGGCCTATGCCCACCTCTTCAGCCTCGTCTGCTGCATGTTGCCCTCATCCACTGTGCACCCCACCGTTGGCCAAGTTTCAGTCCCTCAAATAAACCAAACTCTTTCCCTCCTTAGGGGTCTGTCTCTCTCCCTAGAGTACTGTCCCCACCTCCCACCTTTCAAAAGACATAAATGGCTTCTGTGCATAAATGCCACCTCCCTTTCGTGACTGCCCATCCTCCTTCATTCATGATCTCAGCCCTATTCACATCCTCTCCAATGAGAAAAAGAAGGGGGAATTGATAAGATGCCGGCTTCTGTCTCCCTCACTGGACTGTGGGAAGAGGCTGCATGGGGTTCCATAGGGCTAGACACGTTGTTTACGACCTTATACCCAAAGCCCAGCACACACTTTCAATAAATATTATGTTATACCAATTGAATGCTTAATCCCTCCTGAAAGCTGTGTGACCTTAAACAAGACATTTAACTTCTCTGAGCCTCTGATATGTCATCTACAGAATAGCAAGAGACCACCCTCAGACAAGCACAAAGGCACACACACCCAACAATGCCAGCAAAACTCACTTCCCTGCTTTCCTTTTTTCTTCCTTTTTTTTCCCACTTCCCCAATCTGGCTTTTATCTGTAGAATTAACCAAGAATCATGTTACTAGGATGTAGACTACAGATGGAAGTAAAACAAAAAGTAAATAAGGCTAATAGCAAAAACAATGTCCCTCCCCAGAAAAGGGGCAAGTGGGGAATGAAAGTAAAGAAGAAGTTGGCTGTTTTCTTTGAGAAATGACAGATACTCATTTCTGTCCCTAGGGAAAGAGAGATACACACAGAGGGTGAAGTAGCCTGCCTTCTATTTTTCTTCAAGCTTTTTTTTTTCCATGAACACAGATGTTAAGAAGACCCAGTTATGTTAGTGTTCAAAGAGACAAGTGTAACTGGCCAGGTCAGGAATGCTCAACCTGGGTTCTTGGATGGGCTTCACGGAACCCAGGATCCCTGTGAAATCGTTTCCAAATGTGTGTGTGTGTGTGTGTGAGCATATATGCATTTTTCTGGACTGGCTAGTCCAAAGGATTCGCAGGAATGCTCAACCTGGGTTCTTGGATGGGCTTCACGGAACCCAGGATCCCTGTGAAATCGTTTCCAAATGTGTGTGTGTGTGTGTGTGTGAGCATATATGCATTTTTCTGGACTGGCTAGTCCAAAGGATTCACTGGCTTCTCAAAGCCGTTTCCAGTCAGAAAAGTTAAAACCACTGGGCAATTTGAACTCTTTATCTTATAGACGAGAAAGCTGATCCCCGTGGAAGGCAGGAGACTTCCCCAGAGCCACACAGGCAGGGGCCCATGCGTCCCACACTTACCACTGGCCAGGCCACTATGCCTAGGCCTTTGTGTGCACCCCCCCACTGATCCTTCACGACAACCGGCTGAGGCAAGCACAGGTGTTACCTCTGCACACAGAGGAGCACACTGAGGCCCAGAGCATTAAGCAGCTCACCAGGAATTATGTGCACTCACCTCCAGGGCTGTTTTCACTACACCACATTGTCCCTACGCAAAAATAAAACCTTGGACTCTGCTCTGGTGGTGAAGGCCACGAACTTACCACAACCCCCCCAGCCACTCATTTCTTAGTGATTCCTTCCTAGTTTACTCTTCCTTCATGCCAAAGAAACTTCCCAATCATGGCAGTGGAGCTGCCTGCCTGGCCCGTGTGCTGGCCCAGCACCCTCTACTGGCAGCATCTCCCCAGGCAGCAGCTGGGTGACCCTACAGTGCAGTCTTTTTTAAAAGTGAGGCCTTGAACCCCACCAGAGAGCGTTTCTATGCTCTAATTCTTCCCAAGCTTTGCAGAGCTTGGAATCCTGGTGCTACGTTCGTTCATTCAACCATTTTTAGTCTGTTTCATTTTTACTAATGATTTTAAATGAAAAATAATTCATGTACATTGTAGAAAAATAATTAAAATGGATCTATAGTGAAAACTAATGATCTCTTCTACCTTACCCTGGTATCCCTTCCCAGAGAAAAATCTTGTTTTTGATTGATGGTGTATCCTTCCCAAAATATTCTATGCATGGACAAGCATAGCATATATAAGCATACATATATATATTCCTCTTTAACAAAAAAAGTACAACTATAAGTTACTGAATACATACTGCTCTACACATTGCTTGAAATATCAGTATATATGGAGATTAGCCCATATCAGCCCATACTGACATGTCTCCTTTTTTACAGAGCTGCATAGTATTCCATTGTGTAGATATATCATATTTTATTTAACATGTCCTGTATTGATGAATTTTTAGAATATTTCATCTTTGAATGCAGAAACAATGCTTTGGTAAATCACCTTGAATTTATTTCTTTGCATATGTGTTTATACCTATAGGATAAATTTAAAAATATACTTGTATATTTTGCTGACTGAAATTTGAATTTTGATAAGTACTGCCAAATTGTCCCCTGAAGAGCATACACCAATTTGTACTTCCACAAGCGGCAAGAGAGAGAGCTGTTTCCTCATGCCATTTTCAATACTGAAATATTATCAAACTTTTATTCAATGGATGTGATTGTGGGCCCACTGTGTCCAATCATTTTTGCTGTGCACAGAGCGGAAGGAATAGTGACAGGCAAAAGCCCTCAACCTTGCAAACCTTAAAAGGCACAGACATCAAACCTGAAATTGTAGTGCAGTGTGGTACGTGCTCTGCTGGAGAAAGGACACTTGGGAAGCAAGCACACAGCAAAAGGGCAGAACGCAGCCTGAGAGGCAGAGATACAAGGAGGCCGGGAAAGATATATAGGCTAAGTCTTGAAGGGGATCAGCCAGGTAAAGGCCCAGGGTAAAGCATTCCCTGAGCAGGTCCTGCCTGTGTGCTCAGGTAACTAGGGGAAGCTGTGGCTGGCTGGAGTGCAGCCTGCTGCAGGGGATGGGTTGTGGATGCCACATCAGCATCCCCACATCAAAGCACAGCACACATGGGCCTCGGCTGAGATGACAGAGTGCTTGATTAGCAGCCTGGAATGTCCAGATGAGGTGTCTGGTCTGCTCGGGGCTCATGTGCACCTGGAAGGACCCACATAATTCAGAGGGGTTGACATATACAAAGGAGTTGTCAGCCCATCCAGGGCATGGCAGGGTAGGGACAAAGATGGAAGAGAACTGCGGTGACCTCATCTCTCCATGCACCCTGGAGAGGAGGTCTCCCCAGCAAGCAAACCACGTGGAAGAAGAAGTCTTTGTGGAGTGGCCAGTAATGAGCTGCGGCCATTTGCTTGGGAATGGACACCATATTGCCAGTGGGAAACACGCCCAGAGCCCATATGGTGGGAGGCCTGTTAACGAGCTCCGGGTGCCCAGAGTGCTGCTCCTGCTTTGATTTTTGCCAAACAGGCAGGAGCAGAAGGAAGCTGAAGGCTTTTCCTGCTGCTGTGCAGGCCCTGGCTGGGGCTTCTCTTACCAGCCCCTCCCAGCATGCTTCCCAGCCCCACACGCCCCTTCCTCTCAGGCCAGAGGGTCAGCTTCACTGGGACCCACAGCTCCTTCTTCCCCATCTCCCAGAGGGTCGGTCCTCAAGATGTGGAATGTGCTACGCAGTGACATGTGGGAACAGGCAATTCCGTGAGAGATGGAAGAGGTCTCCACGACCCAGCAACTTATTCATTTACTTCCGTCCATTCTACCACACGTCACAGTTCACTGGTGCCAGTCAACTGCATCTGTGCATTTTATGACATAGTTTTAACTACATTAACCCTTACAAGATGAACAAATGGCCTCCCAAGATGACTGCTGAGAGCTCTGATTAGAAGGTAACACTCCTGGGGCCGGCCCGGTGGCGCACTGCTACAGTGCGCCGCTTGGGAGCGCGGCGGCGCTCCTACTGCAAGCCTGGCAAGCAATGGGAAAGTGGTAGAGGTGACACCTGACTTATACAATGCCCTGTCACCTGCATCAGGAGATAAACACAATGCCACTGCCATCAGATAGGACAAGACATCAGTCAAGATGCTATGAGGTTATTCAGGAGACTGCTTGAACTACAGGTTTACATCTAATGTCATTAACAATACACCTTGCCTGAAATTTATATAGTACCTTAAAATATAGCTAATAATAAGACACAGCTCCCATAATTAGCAAGGTGTTTGAAAACATAGGCTGTTTTTTTAATCTTTAGTCCATCTTTTTAAAACTTCTATATTTGAGGGCCGGCCCGGTGGCGCACTGGATAGTGCGCCGCTTGGGAAGCGCGGCGGCGCTCCCGCCCGAGGGTTCGGATCCCACATACAGACCGGTTCCCGCTCACTGGCTGAGCGAGGCGCGGGAGCAGCGCCGAGGGTTGCGATCCCGTTGCTGGTCCCCGGTCCGGTACGGGGGCAACACTGAGGGTTGCGATCCGTTGCCGGACACGGAAAAAGACAAAAAAAAAGACAAAAAAAAACTTCTATATTTGTATGTATTTTACGATATATGTAATAAGGCAATACATTGATACAAAGTAAATACATATCATGTAAAACGTTAGCATATGGATACTGGGCTAATTGTTCCAAAATATTTTACTGAAGTAGGGCATGACCAAAACACTTTGGCAGCCTCTCGTCTGAAATATCAGGCCTTCCTGTAATTCAGTAATGTCTTAACGCATTGGGAAGATTCAAATGTTGTGTTTGCAAGAATATATAAATTTTCTATTATCGGAGAGGAAATTTATTAGGAAAAAAAAAAGGTCAGGCCCAGGATCAGGAAGGATGAAGACCTGGCAAAATGAGTCATGACAAAGTGAGCTGACTTTTTATTTTTCCCTGCCACAGCCTCTTACTCTTCTCAGGGTGTTTTTCCACAATCACACAGAAAGCCCTGTGTCACTACCCTCCAAGCATGTGCCACACCTGCAGGACTGTAGAGAAGCTGATACAGCAGCGAGAAGGCCAGCGTGTCCACCCTGGAGACTCTGGGCCCCTCTAGCTCCCTCCAGAGGAGAAAGATGCCCAGGAAAGGAGCCTGACTTCCCTGCACCTGGAGAAAATAGATGCTATGAAAACAGCCAAAGCAACATGCAAGAAACCAGGGCACACTGCCATCGCAGACGCAAATCTTAGCAAGCCCAGCTTTTGTTGTGCTATATTTAGTTCATGTTCCCTTAGGTTAGGGGATTTTCCAAATATTTCACTTCTCCCTGAGCACAGTTCCCTAGACCCCATGTTGCTCTTGAGAACTCCTTCATCGCAAAATGGAAAAGTAGATTAACTGAGTTATCCACTTCTTGCTTCACTCCCAGCATCTCAGACCATAAAAATTGGTGCAGAAGGATCCGAATCTAAGTGCCATCTGTGAAGCATACGAGTGAAAGGCATCTTCTATGGGCTGGTCCTTCTTCCAGCTCTGTGTCCCTTCTTCCATGCCAGGGCAGAGTTGGATGTCGTGTGATAAGATTTCCAGCCCAGGTGGAATCAGGTTGAAATGTGTGACTTGAAGCAGGTTCCTTCCCTTCTCCAAGTCTCACATTTCTCATCCATCCCATGAGGTCCCTTCATTTTCCCCTGCAGCCTTTGAGGAATGCTTTCTCTTGAAATAATGAAAGAAATCCTAAAGAATGGAAAAAAGAGTGGACTAGAAGTGTTCTCCAATACGTAGGGATACGTCTTCCTTTCATCCATCCATCCTCTTATATGAAGATAAAGAGAATAATGTGTGGACAACATTCTCTATTCTGGGTTTCTTTAGTATTTCTGAACTTTAGGAAAGTCAAAGCAGAATCACAGAAATCATGATCCTTACTTTTAGGAAATTAGACAGGAAGGGAGAGAAGGAGCTAGAGAATGTCATGTCTGTCCTCCGGCATGACTGCTTGGCATAAGCCAGCCACGGTGAGTAGATGGAGCCTTGGGTGTGGGAACTCTTCAAATCACTCCACTTTTCAGCCTCAAAGTTTCTAATCTATAAAAATGTGTCCATAATGGTGCTTCTATTTTCTAGCTAAGGTGGTTGTCCTTTTTCCCTACAGGTTATTCTCCATCCTACCCCGAACAGCCCCAAGCAGTCAGAGTGGCACAAAATGACAGTCTCCAAAAACTGCCCTGATCAAGATCTCAAAATCAAACTTGCTGTCCGAATGGATAAGCCTCAGAACATGAAGCATTCCGGGTAAGTGTTTCTTCCTTGAGTGGTGATTTTGGACACACATTCATTCATTTCTCAAAACAAAAATAAAAACAGATCTTCAGAGACCTAAGTGGGAGGAAATACAAAAGATTCATGAGAGGTTATTAAAGTATTTGACCTTGATATTTACTATAAGTTTCCTCAGTTCTTATGATTACTGTATTTGCATTTTTGCTGTCAAGATAGAATAATTTCCTTCTCATTCTCTAATAGGATTCCCAGTACAATTCAAAATCTTTCTAGAAGCATGCTAGTTGGTCATTCTGGTTTTGGGAGGTTTTATAGGCTCTATGTACCTTTTCAGAGGCATCCAGATCATTCAGATTCTACAAATCATTCACACCTTAATCAACAGCCACAGCCATGAGATATGAGCAGATGCCACCTTCAGACAATCAATTCACATTGGGTCAATTTCAGTGTTTAGTGCAGCATTTAAATGATTGACCAAAAAATAGAAAATCTGTGATCATCTTCATTTTAGTATGGTTTAAGAGGAATGACCAATTAAGTAATTTCAAGTAGGGCAAAAAGAATAGGTAAAATCCGTTTTATTTACAGATTAAACCAGTGATTTTTACAGAAAACATTTATGGATGACTGAGCATGTGCTGAGCCATGGCCTGTTAAACTAAACCACTTGGACCCCGTTATCTCAGAAAATGTGATCACTGAGAGGGGAGTTGGGTCATGTAACTCTAAAGAGGGGAATGTTCAGCCAGCTGGAGGGAATGGAATCAGAGGGTGCCATTTGCCACCTGCCTCTCATTCTGCTTAGCACCTGTGATCACCAGACAGGTCTCATTAATTCTCTTTTGGGTGAATGTGTTTATGATAGGGCTTGAAGTGGTAAAACTGCCATGAAGACTGAGGATTGGTTGTATGTACTAGAGGTGTGGGAAATTCAGAAACTCCACAGTGGCCTAGCTGCTGATTATGACAGGTTTAAACAGAAACCTTTAAGAAGTCCAGGAGGAAGTGACCAGAACAGGAAGTGGACACCTCAGTGGATGAGCAAACCACAGCAGCATGTGGGCAAAGAGCAGAGAACAGGACCTCAGCATTCTAGGAAGCAAAGGAAGCCCAACGTTCCAGGGAAAGATCGATACTGACCAGTCAGGGCACCAATCAGCTTCAGGCATGGGAGGGCTTCAGAGGAAGCAAAGGCCACCCATGAGCTGGAGACCAGTTACTGAACCCAAGCTCTGGCTTGGATTTGGAGAATTTACATTGCATCATCTTGAGGCCATATTATTTCCAGAGCCTGAGATGGGATTATGGCAAGGCTGTTCTGCCTGAGAACATGAGAAGGCTGTGGGAGAAGGAGCCAGGCCCTAAGTACATGCTGAGTCCTTTTTCAACCACCGTGATGAATTACAAGTAGCTTCTCCTCAATTAACTTAGCATCTCATGAAATGTTTCTGAGGTCAGCTTTTCCTCCTTCTTATCATACTCCTGGCATATATTCCAAAAATAATAAAAGGAATTTCTCTCTAATATCTCCTCCCCCTCAGTGATAATTGTCCTCATTTTAAGACAATGGTATTGAGAATTCTGTTATGTTCTTAGAGCACACAAGAAAGGATCTTGCATCTTTAGCAAAATACTGCTTCATAAATACTCGGTAAATATTTTCCAAAGGAACCAGGGCATGAGTGAGCAGGATGGAGGGAGGAAAAGAAAGAGAAACAAGGAAGAGAAGGCAGACCAAAGAGAGAAAGATAGAAAAAGAACAAGAATATGAGTGAATGTATCTGCCCTCCAAGCTGCTTTTTTAAAACTTTCTTAAAAGGATCAATACCTCAACCCACATTCTGGGCCCCCTCAGAAGCACTGTGCTAGGAGTTTTACAAACACTCTTTCATTTATCCCCTACACCAGACACTTGACATAGGTATTATTTGCCCCCTTAGACAAATTCCCATTTCCCATATTCTCTTTTATTTACTCTGCTGGAATCTGAACTAACTGATTTGGATTCAGAATTTTTTGTGCTGATTCATTTGTAAAATCATTCACCTATTTCAGTCTATCTTGACCTTACAGATGACAGAAGAGAGATGTAACTCACTTCTGACAGTTCCCCTAGCTATTTCATATTACTGGGCTGCCATTTAAATTTACCCCTGCCAGGAAATATATCGGGAGAGCCCAAAATAGCTCTGAAAAATGAACAGTGGATGACTTACTAACAACATCAGACCCAATATGACCTAAAACAGAAGTGAACCACCTTAGTTGCCTGTTTATGGACTGCTTTTTTTTTTTTTTTTAATTTAAACTTAAAATAGTTTTATTGAGCCCCATTGTATGGGGAAGAAGGATGGAAATATCAGAGCAATACCACAGCTTAGAGAATGGGAGAAAGAGGAGTTTTTTTTTTTTCATGGCAGAGGTTATAAATTATATACACATTATTGTTTTCGGAAACATAAAAGGAAAATCAGAATTACCATGAATTTCTCCTCGTTGGTGGGCACTGTGGTTCCATGAATGAGCTACTGGGCCATTCAGAATAACTTTGTTTATCGAATAGAAAAATGTCAGTGAGAAAAATCACCACTGCTTTTTGGCCTAAAAACATTAGTATCTGTGTATATTTGAGAATTAGCAACTCCTGGGTAGCTTTCTCATTTTTTTTTTTTTTAATATCCATATGGTGTTTTCAATTCAGGAAACACATTCGCATCCTTTGTCTAATCTCATCTTTGAAACAGCCTCATAGTGATTAGGTATTATCATTCTCCCACCTTAGTAAATGATTCCGCCTTTCACCCAGATGCTCAGAACAAAATCCTGGGAGTCAGAACACCATAAATGGTGCATAAACAACAGAATTTTGTTCCTCACAGTCTGGAGGCTGGGAAGTCCAAGGTCAAGGTGCTGGTGTCTGGTGAGGACCTTCTTGCTGTGTCATCCCATGGCAGAAGGTGGAAGGGCAAGAGGGGGCCATAATGAACCCACTGCCACAGTAACAACAGTAATCCATTCATGAGGCGGAGCCCTCATGGCCTAATCACCTCTTAGCTCTCCTACCTTTTAATACCATTACAGTGACAAAAAAATTTCCACATGAGTTCTGGAGTAACATTTACAACATAGCACCAAGCCGCTGTCACTTCTCCCCTTCACTGGTAGCTCTTGTCTCATAAGCAGTCGCCCCACTTGTGTCCTTGCCTCCCTGTAGTCCATTTCCTACCCTGAAGCCAGGACAATTTTTTAAAAAACACAAGTCAGACTCTGCCATTCAAATGCTGAAAAGCCTCCAGTGATTACCCATCTCATTCAGAGTAAAAGCCAGTGTTGTTCCTATGGCTATGAGGCCCTACCTACCTGACATTCATCACTGTTCCAGCAACATTGGCCCCTTTGCTCTTCCTCAAAGACTCCAAGAACACCCCCATCTCAGAGCCCTTGCCCCTGCTGTTTCCTCTGCCTTGGATCGCCTCCCACCCAGATGTCCATATGGCTCACCTTGATCTCTGCATATCTCTGCACCTTATCAAAAAGCCTTTCCTGGTCCACTTGTGTCCTCCCTCTCTCTTTCTTACTCTGCTTTGTTATTACGAGACCACTTATCGTCATATCACCTATTATATATTTCCTTGTTCATTAGTTTATAGTCTGTTTCCCAACTACACTGTGAGTTCTTTGTCAGAAGGGACATTTGTCTCCTTCATTAACAGTACCTAGTAGAGGGCCTGATATGTAGCAGAATAAGTTATTTATTGCATGGATGAATAAGTGAATAAATGAATCCCCACTTTACAGATAGAGAAACTGAGATAAAAGACTTGCTCAAGTCAGGAAGCAGCAGAGTTGGGTCTTACATTGTTATTCCTTTCAGTTCAACCTTGACTGAGGACCTGACGCTTAACTAAAATACAGACCTCCACATGGATTCATTCAATAAATCACAGCCCACCAACAAGGAGTAATTTACAGCAATTCTGATTTTCCTTTTACATTTTAACCAACCTTGAAAAGCTTATATCCCTCAGCCATGTTCTCAATATTTCCTTTCCTTTTCCATTTTCTTAGCTGTGCCACTGCTCTAAACTTCTTATTCTTAAAAACCACCTCTCTCCTCCGCATAAATCTCTTAGACACCACTCCCATTGGCACAGATGCTCAAACCAAACTATTGGGTTGGACTAATTGAATATTTTTAGAATTTCATGTTATCTCCCTTGTTGACTTATTATCTATAAATATCATTTAGATCAAGTTGATTGATAGTGTTGTTCAAATATTCTGTACCCTTAGTGATTCTGTATCAATTATTGAGACAGAAGTATCAAATCTCTGACTGTAATTTGGGGTTTGCTTCTTTCTCTTGCATTTCTGTTCATTTTCGCCTCATATATTTTGAAGTTCTGTGATTAGATGCATAAACATCTAAGATTATTAAGTCTTCTAGATGAGTTAACCCCTTTATCATTATGAAATAATCTTTATCCCTGGTAATATTCTTTGCCCTGAAATTTACTTTGTGTGACAGTAATACAGATTTTTTTAAACCTGCAGATTTTAAAAAACTTTTACTATGGTAAATCCTTTTCTATCTTTTGATCTTTAGCCTATTTGTGTCTTTATAAAGTACATTTCTTATAGACAGCATAGTGTTGAGTCTAACTTTTTAAATCCAATCTGAAGATCCCCTTCTTTTAATTGGGATATTTAGCCTATTTATATTGTTGGGTTTAAATTTATCATTTTGCTATTTGTCATCTTCCTATTTGTTTCCTATTTACCCCACCTGACTTTTGTTCCATTTTTCCTTTTCTTCTGCCTCCTTCTGGATAACTATATATTTTTATGATTCCATTTTATCTCTTTTTTATTGTATTATTATCTTTATATGCCACTTAGGCCAAATTGCCTAGAATGGAATCCTTGGCATAACCACTTACTAGTTGTAGGCAAGTCACTTAACCTCTCTGGACTTCATTTTGCTCAGCATAAAATGGAGATAATAGTAG